TGAAAAGCGTACACAGAGGCCTGTACTCCAAAGCGACCCTGGTAGGAGAGCAGTTCTTACACCTTCCTCCTTGATGGCAGTGCTGTCCGCTGACTGCACGTTTGTTCTTCTTCCTTTCGGGTTTTATAGGAACTGTCGCTCCTTCCCAGGCTTCCCTGGCCTGGCCTGTGGCATGGCTCCGGCATTCCTGCACCTCAGGAGGAAGCCTGTCTCCCACCCCTGTAGAGCAGACCTGTCCAGCTCCCACCTCTCGGTATCTGAAGTCCCTTATGAAGTCCAGCAGGAAAGCAGCCCAGAAGAGGATTCGTTCTGGTGTCTACTTTGTTGTATCATCTGTTCTTAGCATTCTTTCTTCCATTTCTAGGGAGAGCTAAGCTCTTGAAATGCTAATTCTACCACAAAAGGTGGAAAAAGAGGTTTGATTTTTCTAAAATGCCCTGCGGGCTGAAAAGCATCTTTCTAGTTTCACAATTGAGAGTTTCTCCTGTGCCTGCTTCGTCGTGTTTCCCAGTATGACTTAGTGTTGTTGCCTTGCAGACATTCTGTCTGTCTGCCTGTCTCTCTCTCTCTCTCTGGCCTTCTCCTCTCACACCTGCCACATCTCCTCACCTGTTTCCTCCCTCACGGAGAGAACCAAAGGCTTTCGGAACCCTCTGCCCCCAGATGTAGACAAACTAAGAAGAATAAAGGAAAACTATGGACCAGGCTGTTAGATGTCGACCAGCTGCCTGGTCCCCTCTTGTCCTTCTGTGAAAGGCTGACATGGTCTCATCCAAAGCCCCTCACTTTCTCTGCCCACTGATTCCATTCTCTCTCATAAAACAAAACAGCCCTGTGCTTTGCTTTTCTTTCCCATAGTCTGATTTTCCTGGCTCTTTTCCTGGGTCTTTATAACAGTGTCTTTATAACAGTATTTTGCTATTGTTTTTCTCATCTTGGAAAAACAAACAATCTCTTGACCCTTGATCTAGACTCATTTCTCCACATTTACTTTGACCCACCTTTAAGTCAGAAGTCTTGGGAAATGTTGTCTTACTGCCTGTCCTTCCCACCCTACTTTAAACCCTCAGCAGTCAGACCTTTAACCCAGACACCAACGTTCCCTTTGTTAAGGTCCCCATGATGTTCATGTTGCTAACCCGATCTGTCACTTTTCTTTCTTTCTTTAATTATGATTTATGTATATAGGTGTCTTGTCAGAATGTATGTCTGTGCAGCTCATGTGTACCTGGTGCCCTCAGAGGCCCTGGGAGTTAGCCAGGTGGTTGCTGGGAATTGAACCCAGGGTCTCTGGAAGAACAGCCAGTGCGTTTAACCACTGAGTCATCTCTTCAACTCCCGAGTTGTTAGTTTTCAATCTTCATCTTATTTGGTCTGTCAGTAACTGACACCAAGGCCCCTTGAAACACTTTTTTTTTTTTTGGTTTTTCGAGACAGGGTTTCTCTGTGTAGCTTTGCGCCTTTCCTGGAACTCGCTTTGGAGACCAGGCTGGCCTTGAACTCACAGAGATCCGCCTGGCTCTGCCTCCCGAGTGCTGGGATTAAAGGCGTGCGCCACCACCGCCCGGCTATTGAAACACTTTTTTGACTTGATTTTCAACACATTGTAGAAATCTTGATTTCTTCCCTGGTTTTGGGTCTTCTCCCTGATCTTGGCTTGTTGCTGAGCTTTGGAGGTCAGCTTTGACCTCTTCCTTATGTGCGTGTACTACTGGACTTGGGCAAGAGTTTGGAGGTTAGTACCGTCCATACTGATGAATCCAGCGTTCACCCTCGCACCTTGGCCTCTCTCCTGAAGTTGAGGTTTGTAGATATCTACTCTCTGCTCAGCATGTCTGCTTGACTGTTTAATAGGCATTCACAGTTAACGTTCCAGATCTGAATTTTTGGATCATCCTGTCTGCCACCAAACTCATTTTGCACTTTCACTGTCAGTCAGAACTAATGGAAGTGATATCATTTCTGTCCCACAAGTCAGAAGCCTTGACTTTTCATCTCCCCTTTCCTGTGTCCAGTGTGGCCCTTCTTTCTACCTCACTCCTGACCCCTTTGAATAGACTGTCTTCATCTCTGGCTCTGACAATAGTCTCCAGCTCGCCATGCTTTGCAATCTTTTTGTTTGTTTTCTAATTGATACATGATTACATTTTACATCAAGCTCATCCAGAGAAGCCGTTCTTGTCTGGTACTCATCCCCAGTAGGAATAGCCTCACACCATGCTTCAATTAATTAGAAAACCTGTTAAACATCCAACAGTGAGTGCCTAGTCTCTACTGAACCCCTGGATAATTGATAGGACACCTCTTTGGTCACTTGCCGACCATGGCACTAAAGGTCGGTCAGAAAAGCCTAGGAGGGGCTGGAGAGATGGCTAGGTGGTTAAGCATGGTTATTGCTCTTATCCCCAGCACCCACATGGCAGCTCACAACTGTCTGTAACTCCAGTTCCAGGGGATCCGACACCCTCTTCTGGCCTCTGTGGATACCAGGCACGCATGTGATACACAGACATCTATGCAGGCAAAACACCCATACATATAAAATAAAAATAAAACAACATTTTTAAAAATATCTGGGCTCTATAGAACCAGAGACCTAAGGCAGAATGTGAGTGCCAGGTAATGGGGGAGGAGGCCATTGGGAGTGACTGCTAATGGGCTCAGGATTTCTCTTCTGGTTGTGGTGACGGCTGTACAATTCTGCATGTATTCCGTGGTGCTGACTTGTGTGCTTGAACGGGTGATTGTATAGTGTGTGTGCTGGTTATATTTTACCACTGTGACACAAGCTGGAGTTGTCTGAGAAAAGGGAACTTCGGGTGAGAAAATGCCTTGGTAAGACTGGCCTGTGGGCAAACCTGTGGAACATCTTCTTGATTAATGAGTGGTATGGCCTAACCCACCATGGACATTGATGCCCCTGGGCTGGTGATCCTGGATTGTATAAGCCAGCAGGCTGAGCTGGCCAGTGAGCAGCACTCCTCCGTGGTTCTGCTTCCGTTCCTGCCCTGACTTCCCTTCACGGTGGATACAGACTATGTCTATAAGATGAAACAAGCCCTCCTCTCTCCGAGTTGGTTTTGGAGAGTGGTTTTTGACAGCAATAGAAACCTAATTAAGACAGTATGTGACTCATATTTTAACAGAAAACCAAAACAAACCACAATTACTATGCTGGTGGGAACACAGTGTCATGGCTGAGAAGTGAACAGAGGGTGTGTCCGAGACAAGGTCGAAAGGTCAGCTGAAATGACACTAGTTTGTAATGAAGGTGGGAAGTGGTGTGGTTGCCCTGGCTTGGTGGTAACAGTGACTGAAGCTAGGGGGTGTGGGGAGATGGGAGGTCAGATAACCAATGTCAGGACAGAGGAAGAGCCCAGGCAGGAGAGAAGGTGCATGTGAACCACATGGAGTTGAAATGCGTGAGAACCGTGTGAGAGCAGTGAGAAGGACCTGCCGTGGGGAGCAGAGCCAAGCTGAGAACATGACTCCCAGGAGGATTGTGTGGATAAAGAGACTACACGCCATTACCTCCTGAGGTGGCCAGCGGAGGCAGGGTTACCAGGAGAAGCACTGGTCTGAGCAGGTTTAGGTTAAATACAGAAGCTGGGTCTTACTTCACAGTTAGAAGAAATGTATTCAAGTATCCAAGCCTACACTGTCTCTGCACCACCAGCCTTCTGGTGTTGCAAAGAAGTGTAACATTTGTTTGACTTAACTACTGTTACCCAAGTCATCCGTTATATCTAGTTCACTGTATTTTCTGTGCAGACTTACATTTATTCCAATATACAGCTGAATGGTGACTGTGGAGATACAAGGCATTACTGAGATTGCAGAGAATTTCCAAAAAGTAATTTTAAAAACCCACTTTATTATTTTGGAAATGAAGCAATTTCCATAAGAGAAATTTTTATGCAGCTCCTTCTACAATGTAATGAAAGTGAGGCTTGCCTATATCAAAATGCTGGAAATGGCCCTGATGGTGACCAGCAGGCTGGACATGGATGTTTTGCTCTTGTGGACCAGGCTTTCTGGGATCTGAAACTGATTAGTATAAAGGGGAGAGCGTTTAGAAAACTGAAGATGTGTCACTGGTGGTGGCGGCGCACGCCTTTAATCCCAGCACTCGGGAGGCAGAGGCAGGGGGATCTCTGTGAGTTCGAGACCTGCTTTTTCGACTGAGTGAGTTCCAGGACAGCCAGGGCTACACAGAGAAATCCTGTCTCAAAAACAACAACAACAACAAACAAACATACAAACAACAACCAACCAAACAGCAACAACAACGACAAAAAGGAGGAGGGCTGGAGAGATGGCTCAGAGGTTAAGAGCACTGACTGCTCTTCCGGAGGATCCTGGTTCAATTCCCAGCACCCACATGGCAGTTCACAACTGTCTTTAATTCCAGTTCCAGGGCATCTGACACCCTCTTACAGACATACATGTAGGCAAAACCCCAAAGTACATTAAATAAATCTTAAAAAAAAAATTTAAAAGCCTTAGTCTCCTTAGCGTCCTGGCCAGTCTTCCCTAACCTTGATGATGGCGATGAGCTGGATGGGCGTCAACGTGGAGCACATGGTATAGCAAGCCCTGCTCTAACCAGTGTCTACATATTGATCCTAAAAAACCCAGAGTGCAATACTGGAGTACAGAGACATCAGGGCCAAGGTGGGAGACGGAGAGAACACTAAATGGAGAACCTCGGCTTTTGTCAAAGGTTTGCCGCCATCTGCCAAGGAGTCTTGGGAGAAAGTGTACACCATACATGGACACCTTCATTTAATACATGCACTGGTGTCAGCAGAAGCCCTTCGTTCTGTTGTGCTGAGGTCAGGGGACATGGAAAAAGTGTGAACATTTCTGGAAAATGCACACCCTATATAGTGAACAGGTTCCACCACAGTGATGTGGGTAAAGCTTGAAAGTGCATTTAATTTTGCTGACTTTTCTGGCACTCTAATGTTTCTAATTTCTTGGATTTTTTTTTTTTTCAGGTTACTTGTCTGCAAGACTTTTTTGGTGATGATGATGTTTTTATTGCATGTGGACCTGAAAAATATCGTTATGCCCAAGATGACTTTGTCCTGGATCATAGCGGTGAGGCAATTCACTGACCATCTTTGTAGCTCCTGAAAAGAAGGCTCAGAATTCAGTGGCAAACATGTTGAGAACATAGGATACTGGAGAAAGATGACCAAGCATGGGTGGTACTCATCTGTCGTTCCAGCTACTCAGGAGGCGGAGGCAGAAGGATCACATGACTCTAGGAGAACTCTAGGCCAGCCTTGGCAATGTAGGGAGACTTTCTCTCTGAAAACATATATGGAAGGATAATTAATAAACTGTTCATGGTAGTTACCTGAGATTTCTCTTTACATCAGCTTTGTGTGCAACTTTGAAAAACATACATCGTTTATATATTTGTAAAAAGGACTATCTCATGGTTGGGATGAAAAATGCCTATTTATTGATTTTTATCTATTAATGTAGTTTTAACTATTATTTCAATGATTTCAAATGATACTGGTGTAGTAAATGGTTATTAGGCGGCTAAGGTAGCTCAAGATAATTTAGCCCCGCTCTGCATCCTTCTGACTGTCCACAACAAATGAAGTTCTAATCCATTAAGTAGGCGGGACTAACAGTAGCAATAGTGACGTGTGCACAGGCAGACCAACTCTTGCTCTATGTGTAGTAAACTTATCAGAGCTACTTGGATCTTTGGTTTTTGTTGTTGTTGATAATGGCCCTTGATAGCCTCTTATAGGTAAGGGAAAAAAAAGAGCACTATTGATTTTCTCTCTCTCAATTTCTGGTTATTTAACCTTCTTTAAAGATGGGAGTGTAATGGATGTTTTGTAGGATTTTGTGAAGGTTAAGTGAGTTAACACACACCTACAGCTATGTGTCTTGCTATTTTTGTTATTGTCAGTATTGTAGCGCCATCATTACATGGTGAAGGGTTACAGTGAATGCAAATTTCAGATTGACTTCTACCGCAAATACATTTATGGGGGCACAAAGGGGTTCTTTGTTGTGTTTTAAACATCCATTGTTCAATTGTGTTGTCAACTTAAGAGCTCCAGCTTAGGCTTCTGAGGGTATCATATATTAAAGATGCATTAAAACAATGACAGAAATCAAAGGAAACATAAGTTTGAAAACCCACCCCCCCAAAAAAAAAAGAAGAAGAAGAAAAAGGAAGGAAGGAAAGAAAGCCTGGTGTGGTAGTGGATGATTTTAATTCTAGCACTTGAGAGGTAGACATAAGTGAGTTGAGGCCAGCATGGTTGACGCAGCAGGTTCCAGGCAGCTAAGGTACATAGTGAGGCTTTGTCTTTAAAACAAAACATTCAGAATGCATAGAATTTTGCAAATCTAATCTTGGTCAAGTCACAGATCTCTCCTGATTCTTAAACCTGGGTATAGTTCTGAAGTTCTGGGATATCGGGGTCTGTTTGGGGGCATCCTGCTCATTAGAGGGGCAGTGTCTCCACAGCCTTTTAACAGTCTACACAACACACTTTTGAGACACAATGGGACACAATCTAAAATGCTAATGCTTAGCAGAAACTGGAAATGCCCCGTTTATATTAGTTTGATTAGAGCCTTTCAGATGTTAACTGGGCTCCCCTGGTGAGTATTCCCTGATTTGTGTACTTCACTTGCTAATTTGCCACCCTTGGGAGCTAGATTAAAACTAACTCACATTTTAATCTTTTTTGCATAAATTGAAGTGTTCTGAAGTAAATGGAAGACAATATGTTTTCTAATTTATCCCTTATAACAAGCCTATGAAGCACATTTTATTCTTACACTAATATGTTAGGGAGAAATAGGGAGGCTTGGAACATAAGCAGGGTCTTCCTTCTAGCTAGCAAATGTCGAGCCATGACTCATCCCAAGCCCGCCTGACTGCAAAACCCATGATCTTAATTACTCAAATCTGAAGTGATGATTGCAGCTGTAATTCGTTCTGGTTCTCCAAATGCTGTCTCATTTGGTGGCTTATGGAAAGGTCAGTGTTATTGTTTCAAGCTATTTTTCTCATTTTTGCTCTTCCATGCTTTGGAGAGATGGGTAGCTAGACAGTACAGAGACCCCAAGTTAGAGTTTCATGTCCTTTTGAAGTAAGATGATCAAGGACTTGGAGAGGACAGTAAAATTGCTGTCTGTGCTGCCTCTGAAAAAGCTGCACACAGATAAACGTGTGGTTTGTCTGTGAATGATACTGTACATCCACTTAGGACAGTAGAATTCCTGTGCTCACTAAGAACTCAGTCCAAACAATGACGTGTTACAGATGTGTAGTCTAACTGGAGATGTAAACATGACATGTACTTTTTGGAACCGTTGCTGCATACATTGAATTTATGGAGCTCAGGGACTGGCAGCTCACCAAGTCCAGCATTCAATTTATAGCCCTGGAAAAATAAAGGGTGGGATGGGAAAGAGATTGTCGGGTAATACCAATAGGGCTGGAGAGTTGCCTTGGTAAGGTGTAAGTGTGAGGACCCGAGTTCAAATCTCCAGCACCCCTACAAAGAGCCATGTGTGGTGGCCCATGGGTCTGTAACTCCAGTGCTGGGTGGCCCAAACTGGAGCTCACTGGCCCACCAGCCTAGCAGAATCCCTGAGTTCAGTGACAGAGTTTATCTCAGTCTGGTGGAGAGTGACTGAGGAGGACGGCTTGACTTCCTGCATTCATGTGACTGTACATGCGCACGCGTAACACTAGTCACAGGCGGCCAGTTGTAGTTACACATGTGCATGCCTTTGGCCAGTGCTGGAATCTGCTTTAACTACAGATGCACTTGTGTTCTTTGCAGAATGCCGGGTACTGAAGTCATCTTATTCTCGAGCCTCGGCTGCTAAGTATTCTGGATCCAAAAGCCCAGGGCCCTCCCGCCGCAGCAAGTCCCCAGCCTCAGGTAGGAAGAGAAAAGCGGTGGATGGTCTTAGAAGGGGCTGTTCTCTTTAGTTTTCTCACATTTTTATGAACCTAACAGCCTTTACCAGCTTGTGCTCTAGAGCAATGAGAGACAATGAGATTTTTAAAACAAAAGCCTTAGATCTGTCTTCCAAGGAACTCTTGCACTTGGTCCTGCCACGTTTTCCTGCAGATAGCCTCACTGTCTAGGCCTCCACTGGTGTGCACATAAACATATTTCACATTTGGGGCACTGTTTACTAAGGTATTTGAATTCTGTGCTTCATAATTGTGGATTTTTACCTTCTTAGAACTACTTCTTCCTGGTACAACACACACCAAATTCCCCACAGAACTATATTGACGTGAGAATGTCCACATTCTTTTTCTTCATCGAACAGCTATTAATAGTAGTAATGATTATTCTCAGAAAGGATTACTTAGTTAAATTCTATAAATTTCATATCCAGATCCTACAGATTTGTCAAAATTTACACTGCTTTGACATTTTTTAACATTAAAACACTCACATTGTATCTCAGTAAGTTGGTTTTATGAGTTGATAGTAATCACAAATAATTTTGCTCATTTAATTTATTGTTAAGGAAATGATTTTAGAGAAAAAGCATCTGTTTTTACAGGCAGTATTCTGATTACTGCCCAGCCTGCTGCCCCTCGGAGTGAACTAAACTTTTTGTTTTCTTTGAAACAAAACGATGATGACGACTTGACTGGAGAGGTGTCTAGAGGTGCAGAGTGGTCCCAGACCAACCGTTCCGAAAGGCAGACTTGGTCAGACGCTCTCTGTGCCGCCCCACCCCCACTGCAGCGCTCGCTGGCTCACTTCCTCTAGGGCAGGCTGTGTTACTGTCTTTTAGACCTGCTGAATAACCTCTGTCCTTACTGTCTTCTCCTGCTCTGTGCATATGCATGCGTGTGTACAGTAAAGAGGGCTGGCCACACCAGTGCCTGTTCTTCAGCCAAATCCCCAGGTGAGCCGGGAGCCTCACAGTGGTGTCTCTCTGCTGGGTTTTTGTTTCTGTCTTTGGCTGCATTTCTGTTTCCTTTGCTCCATTTCCATGAATGTATCTGGCCTTCTCCTGTGGACATCTGTGCCATATGCAACGTCTTACAATGCGCAGACCGCTTCGGCCTCCCTGCGCACTACAGAACCACTTAACCTAGGAAGATTGCTACATGCCTGCCTGTGTAGTTGAAGCAGGGTGGTCCAGGGAAAGGCAGCCACCTCTAGGACTTCTGTGTTCCATCAGGCTGTGGAAAATACTCTGTGACTGAAAAGCTAAAGTTTGTTAGCTGAGCCGGGCACTCAGGAGGCAGAGGCAGGCGGATCTCTGTGAATTTGAGGCCAGCCTGGTCTACAGAGTGATGAGTTTCAGGACAGCCAGGGTTACACAGAGAAACCCTGTCTCAAAAAATAAAACAAGTTGTTATCAATAAAGATACGGAAGGAATTTCTAACCTCACACTTTGCCCATACCTGTGTTAAAGGTTTAGGAATCATTAAAAGCTTCTAGTTCAAAGTGCGTTATGATGGCCTGCACCAGACTAAGATAAGGAGATGTTTGCTGCACACAGAAGGAGGCAGCCAACGCTGCATCTTTTTAGTTGGGAGGCAGTTATTTTCATACAGCACTTTACATTCAGACTTTCTAAATATATGCAGTTGACACTGGGTTTTTTAACCAAAGGTATCTCTCTGCCATTAACCTTATTTTAAATCGTATTGACTCTGTGGTATCTTAAAACTGGAAATGTCAATGAAACATACATGTGTTTGGGTATAGTTTTCTGGCTGAATGATGCCTAGCTTTTGTTTCAGGTGACAGGTTTATAGATGCTTGTCATGTCAGGAAAATGATTAAATAAAACTAGAGAGAAGTGGCTCAAGAGAGTCAAGTATGATTAATTCAACTTTGTCACCTGAGGTCTGAAGAGGAAACTTACTGAACTAATAATATTTCATGGCCACATTTGTCTTCAGACCATCTACTGTTCTATGACAAAGCCCAGTGAATACTTAAATGACTTTTTAAAAAAAATCTGAATTTGCAATGCTTAATAACTGATTGAGGACTAGCATTTCAGTATGTTAAATCTTCAGCTGAATCCATATTGGGATAGTGTCAGCCTCAGACTCCTCAGTGAAAGTTGTGAGACTTGAAAGCCACATCTTGAAAGGCAAAGAGTCTTTAGAGGAGGCCTTTGGAAGCATGTTTAGCACTGTAGAATGCTGAAAGTCTCTCCAGTGCTGGCACTCCACAGTGACTCTAAAATGTGTTTCTACTCGTTCTCTGACGAGGGGCGGAGAGTGTTGGGTTACAAGAAGCCACAGTGTTAGAAGCAGTAGTGCTTGCTTGTACAGAGGCTTTGCTGAGCTGGTACCGATAGTCCAGCTCTTCAGGAGGCTAAGGTAGGAGATTTGAAGTGAACCTGGGCAATGCATCATGGCCCTGTCTTTAAATAGCAGCAGCAGCAATAACAACAACAGCCACGACTTCAGGGATTAGCTGGAATTTCAGACAGTGACTTTGTAAACATAATATTGTTCATGTCAATCTTAGGCTAGAAAGAGCTGCTTTGAGAGATGTTTCTGAGTCTACTTAACTTCCAACAAAACTCTGTGTAAATAGCTAAATAGTGTGTTGAAATACATAGATAGTAAAATAGATAACCATTTAGTCAATCTAACTATGATTTGAGTCGTATAAATACTGCTTTTAGGGGCTGGAGAGGTGGCTGAGTGGTTAAGAGCGCTCACTCTGCGGTTGAGGACCAGCCACGAGATCCTAGCACTAACATGGCAGCTAGGTGTCCTGTGGATGCCTGTAATCCCAGTTCTGATGTGAGGTGGAGGCAGGGTCACTGGAGCTTGCTGGCTTCCAACATAGCAAAGGAAACTCAGACCATAGGTCCAGGGAGAGAGCCCATCACTGTCTGCCTAGAGAGTGATGGATGAGGATGTCCGATACCCTCTTCTGGCCTCTGTTGCACACACTTATGGCCATACAGTCAACACACACACACACACACACACACACACACAAACACGAAAAACTAGATAATCAAGTGATTTAAAATTAGGAAAATTAGCCGGGCGGTGGTGGCGCACGCCTTTAATCCCAGCACTCGGGAGGCAGAGCCAGGCGGATCTCTGTGAGTTCGAGGCCAACCTGGACTACCAAGTGAGTTCCAGGAAAGGCGCAAAGCTACACAGAGAAACCCTGTCTCGAAAAAAACCAAAAAAAAAAAAAAAAAAAAAAAAAAGGAAAATTAAGAGTTTGGGGGATTAAAAATATTGAAAAAGATCCTACCTACCGATTGTAAAAGCACAATAAAATAGACCAAATTGACTTCATAAACCCAGCCATCCCTGTTCACAAACGGTTTGGCTGACCGTGTATGCTCCTCGGTCTGCAGTCTCTGCCTCCACTCAGGAACTGGCGCTCCCTCTTGAGTCACCTGTGTGGGATGTCTGCCTTCACAGTTGACTTTCTACACTTAATTCAGGTGATTTAAAATAATACCGTCTGCCTCATGTTTAAAGGGGTGGGGGGGCTTCATTCTGCTTTTCATAAAGATGAATGGCAGCTTTCATCTGCTTTGGGCGAAAGCTCTTGAGGATTACTTTTGAAGTAAGAGGGATTACAAGTACTTTTAAGAGGAGAACAAACAACTAATCCCAGATATTAACTACTAGCTTCATGAGATCACTGCAGAAACCGATCTAGATGATGGGATTGGGAATGTGCATAAAGGGCACTGAGATGGTTGGCCAGCACTCTGCAGGCTAGAATCTGTGATTGACCTCCCCCTACAAACAGGATTAGCCATCCTCTGCTCAGCAGACTCCAAGCTTTCTACCAAAGCGTGTGGAGGTGCAGAAGGCGGTGTATAGAAAACTACCAGCATTTGCTAAAGAATGGGGACATTCAACGGAAGAAAATGGGGGGATTAGAAATAAGTAGCCTATATTAAAAAGTACTTGAATAGTTTATCTTTTAATGGCCTTCAATCAAATAATATTATAAGAAATAGTTGTTTTCACTTTCCTTAAGAATATACTTAAAGGTTAGGGTTGTAGTTTAGTGGTAGAGCATGTGCTCAGCATGTATGAAAAGCTTAGCTCAATTCTGAGCACCAAAAGGAGAATGGGAAGAAGGCAGGTAGACACACACACACACACACACACACACACACACACACACACACACACACACACTTACCTGTGTGTTTGGGTTACAGTCTAATTGATTTGAAAGAGCCATACACATTTCTCAGTGACTCCCATTAGCATACACCAAGATGAAGATGGATACTGGCAGCTTGTAATGGCCTTCATCACAGACCATCACAAACACAGCCATCTGTCTGTGTTTTCTAGAAGGCAGGTTGTGCGGACAGGGTCTCTCGCTCACACCTGTAATTCCATGATTGTCTTCTGTATTTGTTTATATCATTGTTGGGACACAATTATTGCAGATAATTCTAGCTTCACTCCTTGTCTGACTTTGTCTGTAATGCCGTAAGAGACATTGCTTTTGCTTTTTGCTGATTCGTCACCTGCTTTGGGCTTTAAATGAAGCAAAGCTTCATGGGAGCCATTTTGTGCATGTGCTTAGTGTTTCCACAGTCTGGTTGTTTGGAGTTTTGATGACTGTCTCCTTCATTGTTTCCCGGTCCAGTGAACGGAACTCCCAGCAGCCAGCTCTCCACTCCTAAGTCCACGAAGTCCTCTAGCTCCTCTCCAACCAGCCCGGGAAGTTTCAGAGGATTGAAGGTATGAAAGAAGAGAGCTGGTGTGCTTCTGTGAGTCTGTTATTTGTGTGGTTTCACGGTTAGGTTTGTTTGTGAGCTTGACAAGGCTGAGCTGGAGCCTGTCGTCACATCAGCTGGCCTCCCTGACTCCCCTCACATGGACGCGTTCACGTCCTGTGGGACTGCACAGTTGTGATGGGTTGAGCAAAATGTGGTGAAAGTACAGGAAATTATTATTCTGACTGCTGCAGATGGTTTGCAAGTGGCAAAGCATTGGAAAACACCATAATTCATTTTAAAAGGCCCTTTGGAATCGTGATTTTAGTATGGCTAAGGTAGCTTGACTTTATTGAAGTCTGCAACGTGGGAGAACTATCAACATGTCATTTACACCTGCAGGAAGATAGCACATGAAGAACAGGTACATTTTGGTGAGGAATTTAGACATAAATAGACGTTAACTATGATGTTAAAAAATATGGAGAGTAGCAGCAAAATTCATGGTTGGCCTAATAACCCAACAGGGGGATTGTGAATGCACAGAGCTGACATTTGCAAAATTTTGATGTTTCGTTTGATTTAATAAATCCCAGTGCTTTAAAATTTATAAAATATGTCTGGTAAAACAGAAGAAATAATTGGTGTTAAACATCGAATGTTTCTTTTATTGACACAATCAGATTATTTATGTGGTAAAATGCTTTGAAAATACTGAAGTTTATACAAAGCCATGTATGTTATGTATGTGTTCCTTAGTGTTAAGTTGTATCAGATATACCAGTATCAAGAATACAGTCTCAGCCGGGCGGTGGTGGCACACGCCTTTAATCCCAGCACTCGGGAGGCAGAGGCAGGCGGATCTCTGTGAGTTCGAGGCCAGCCTGGTCTACAGAGCGAGATCCAGGACAGGCACCAAAACTACAGAGAAACCCTGTCTCGAAAAACAAACAAACGAACAAACAAACAAAAAAGAATACAGTCTCTGAAAATGGTTGCTTAAACACCTCAAAAAAAAAAAAAACACAAAGTTTTCTTTAGGAATGTTGAAGAATCTTTTTGATTATTTTAATGAATGGCAAGAACCACTGCTGTGTGAATAAGGAATGAAAACCTACCGAGTCTAGAATCTTGATACCTTGAAGAGATGCGGGAGGTCTTGGTTCTCAGCTTCCCAAAGTGGGTAGCATTATTCACCTGAGTGTAAGCTCAGCTTGCCCTCCCCTGAGAAGGATGTGAGAACAGAAAAAGTATAATGCGGATTGCCTTGGTTTGTGCTTGCTTGGTTATGGACCTCAGTGAAGTGCGGAATGAGACTGATAGTACATGTAGGGATAATGTATAGCTTGTACCTACTCCTCATTACAGGACGCACTTATTAGAACTAGCCAGGGTGGTGGCTGCAGCTTGTAATCTCAACATGCAGGAGGCAGAGGCAGGAGGATTGCTGCAAGTTCAAGGCTAGTCTGGTTTGCATGGTGAGTTCCTGGCAATCTGGGGCTACAGAATGAGACCCTATCTTTAAAAAGAAGGAAAGGAAGAAGGAAAGAAAGAAAGAAAGAAAGAGAAAGAGAGAAAGAGAGAAAGAGAGAAAGAAAGAAAAAGAAAGAAAGAAAGAAAGAAAGAAAGAAAGAAAGAAAGAAAGAAAGAAAGAAAGAAAGAAGGAAAGAAAGAAAGAAAGGAAAGAAAGAAACTCAGGTAGTTTAGTAAGTGAAGGCTGATGGCCACGTGACCTGAGTGTGATCACTAGACCCCTATAGCAGAAGATAATTGACTCTTACATGTTGTCTTCTGACTTCTGCATGCGAACACATTCATTGCATACACATACAGAAGCACACACTAAATAGATGAAATTAAAACTATTTTAGGAGCTTGAGAGATGGCTCAGCAGTTTAGAGCATTGGCTTCTCTTACAGAGGACCCAGATTTGATTCCCAGAGCCTGGCAGCTCAAAACTGTTTGTAACTCCAGTTCCAGGAGATATAATACCTCTTCTGTGTTCTCTTGACAGGAGGCACACACACGGGAAACATTCCTGCACATTAAAAAATAAACTAATAAATCTTTAAATAAATATATTAAAAATTTAAAGGCATTTTTCTGAAGTATTAAATTGGCTAAGGCCCGTTTATACTATGATTGAATTCTTAATTGTCAGTTTGTCGAAAAGGAAAAACTTAGATGAAATAAAACTAGTAGTGGGCTGAATGTTTTCAGATACAAAGCCATGCCTGGTTTTGGTAGCATCCCTACGGAGTATAGCTGCTGCTTTCACATTGCAGTCATAGAAGATCATGTAGAGGAAGCAAGATAATCTTCAAATTGTGAATAATTTCTGCAGAGTGCGGAGTCTCAGATGATGAGTGGTGGCTACTGAATTCAAATTCTTCCGACCCCAAACTGACAAGTGTCAGGACGATGGAAAGTGTTTTGTGCTAGTCAGCCTCCTGTGATTGTAACAAGACCTGAAGATGACCAGTGAGAGAGGAAAGGTTCATTTGACCCCACTATTCTTGAGGTTTGGGTTTATGGTCGCTCAGCCCAGTGGGTCTGTGGTGGCCTAGTACATCATGCCTACTTCATGACCAAGGAGTAAAGAAAAGACAAGGGATCCAGTCCCACAGCCCCTCAGCCCTTCAGGGGTACTACCCCAGTGACCTAAGTACCTTGTACTGGGCCCCACCTTCTAAAGTGCCCCCCCACCCGACACACACACACACTGCCCCATAATGCCTTCTTGAGGAACAAGCCCCCTGTACATGTACCTTTATGGTAGGCATACAATCTAAACTACAGCAACCAGTTAGAATTTTAGGGTCTTGTCTAGGTAGTCTTAAAGGGCAAAAGGAATTAGTCTGGCCTCTTACTGAAGATGGTCAAACAGCCTGGGGGAGTACCAAAAGGAAAAGTGGACCATTTCAGTGGGGTTTGGTGTGATGGAGGGCTTGGCTTCAACCCCAGTTCCAACAAGACACACGGGGATATTTCTAATCAAGGAACAGGGTGTGGGAGGGGATGCAGGTTACTAAGAGGAAGCATCAAGGACAGGATTTCTAGCTAAAGGGACTTGAAGAGATTGCTGTAATGACAGACAAGCCAGGGTAGGGATCTCCCCTAAAGGAACTTTGCAGTATTATAGGCATGGGGAAGGACATCCAAGGTCTGGCCTCTTTAAACAGAGAACCCAGAGGAGTTAGAATAAAATTTGAGTCTTAGGAGAGAACCCCTGAGAGCAGTTGACAGTCTAAACTCTGGCCTGCTTGCTTAGTCCTCACTTTACAGGCTTTGGTCCTGGGAGCTGACTGGCTCAGGGTTCGTTCTGAAAGACCCCCGAAGGTAGTCTTCCCTCTGGAGAGACCCTCGCCCAGAGATCACACCGAGACCACAAGTCAGATGCAAACAGCAAGAGGCTTTATTCAGGAACACGGGTACCCGGGGCGACACAGTCCCTCCAGAGGCTGAAGAGACTGGCGCACCGACGGGCTGGAGTGGAGGGTTTTTATAGGGTCGGGCAGCAGAAGGGCGGGTACAGAAGCAGGAAGCATAGTTTACAGGGTTCTGATTGGACGACTCATATGAGGCCATGGTTTACAGGGTTCTGATTGGACGACTCATATGAGGCCATGGTTTACAGGGTTCTGATTGGACGACTCATATGAGGCCATGGTTTACAGGGTTCTGATTGGACGACTCATATGAGGCCATGGTTTACAGGGTTCTGATTGGACGACTCATATGAGGCCATGGCTTACAGGGTTCTGATTGGACGACTCATATGAGGCCATGGCTTACAGGGTTCTGATTGGACGACTCATATGAGGCCATGGCTTACAGGGTTCTGATTGGACGACTCATATGAGGCCATGTTTTACAGGGTTCTGATTGGACGACTCATATGAGGCCATGGTTTACAGGGTTCTGATTGGACGACTCATATGAGGCCATGGTTTACAGGGTTCTGATTGGACGACTCATATGAGGCCATGGTTTACAGGGTTCTGATTGGACGATTCATATGAGGCCAGGTTTACACTCAGGACAGTTCGTGGTTTTTCCCCGAGCTCGACACGCCTGCTGACTTGGCTCTTATCCAGGGTACAAGTTGTTTTTCTGACCTTTTAGTTCCCTGTTCTGGGGCCAGGTGGCCGACCGCAGATACCCTGTTTGTTCCTGTGCCCATGTCCTCTAACTGAACTTTCCCCGTACTTTTCAGGCCTTGCTCAAAATGGCGTTAGGCTAAGCAAGTATGCTGGGGCCTTTCAGTTCCATGGTCTTTGTCTGACCTCAGTAGCTCTGACTGTCACTGGACGATGCATTCGTCCTAGGCTGGGACTGCAGTGTCTTAGGAGGGTAGGAGTGGATGCAGTTGCTGTACAGTGCTTGAGTTCTGATAAATTCCCTGTAGGAAAGAAGGTCAGATTAAATTCAAGGGCCACAAGGGAGGGAGACCAGGGAAAGAATGAGGAGTCTCTGGGAGGGGAGAGGCAGGGTGAAGGAACTAGGGAGACAAGGAGGATCCTCTGGGACTTCCTCAGGAGACCATGGCGAAGTGCCCGGGAACATGTGTCTGCTGGGAACTGAAGGTCAACACCTGGCATCCTCCTGACTCCACAGAGCTTTTGTAAGATGGTAACGGTCACATAGCCCAGTTACTGGTTTTCCTTGATAAATACCATGGGACTGAGTTTGCTGAGGTTGACAGGCTAGAAGTAGACAGTGTGACCCGGGTCTAGATGATGTTTCTGTGTGGCACCGAATATCTGAGCCATCCGACTTACAGGTTTCAGAGGTGTCAGTCCATTGTGATGGAGAGGGTTTGGTAAAATGGAGTAATTCATACCTGTGGACTTCCTGTCGTCAGGAAGGGAAAAAAAGGGGAGTCAGGGAAAATGCCCCTTCCAAGGACCTGTCCCTCAGTGACCTACTTCCTCCGGTTTGTGTTGTTAGATGTCAAGTCCTAAAGTTCCACAACCACCCACAATAGCACTACTAGCTCTGACCCAAGGGTGTTTCAGCGCTTGA